TTCCTCCTTCTATGGATGCTCTTGTGGACTGCTTGCAGGCAGCCTTTCGTTGTATACTGGAGAACACCACCACTCACCACTTGGTGATTAAATAAACACCGTCTGGTGAGACCAGTTGGAATTCAACTTAGAAATCTGTGTTAGGGAAATCGATTTTTGCAGGCCACCGGTGATAATTTTCAATACATATAGACATTTTGAAAAATGATAACGTCTTAAATTAAACAGATTCGTAGAAAAAATTCATATCGATTGGCGTATTAAGAATTAAAATCCATTATCTCTGGGTCAAAATTAGACCAAAATTAGAGCTACAATTAGACGTAGGGTAAGTCGTACCCTACCTGATGGTGATGTTGATTTGCGTGGGCGAGCCTTGACTTTCAAGACATCATTGAAATAAGTCATTGTTTACAAAAGCTGTTACGCCCTAATTCCAGCTCTATCTTGATATTGGAACTGACATCCAATTGATGACCTTGACAAATGTCCAAAAAATACTCTTTTATAAATTTATGGTGGTCCTGAAAAGGACCGTTTTGTCGTGATGGTTGAGTAATGCTGACCTATTAGGGTGTTAAACACAGATGAGGCTGGTGAGCTGTATGTTGTTTGCAATGAGGGTGACGCGCTTGGCATAGATGGCTCACAGCGACTCACGAAGAGCTACTGATTCCGATCAATAGCGGTGCAGCTTCTTCCACCTAGAGTCGGTGTATAATGAGTCACGCCAAGAGTGAAGCCAAGTCTACCTATTGAACTGTCAAACCGGCTACCTATCGTTCAAAGTAAACTAGCATTACGATGCTATGAAAGGTCCACGAAAGGTATTGCAATTAAATATAAAATATAATCGAACAAATGATCATATACACGCAGTGAGCATTACATTTGTCATGTGATACGTTTTGTAATGATCAGTAATGCCAATTTCTACTATTTTTCTTTAAGATAATTCGACAAAATCCCTGATATAATGATTTACTACAGCCGTTAATTTTTTTCCTCGCTAGAAGTAATTTGCAGTTGATGCAGAAGTCCTCTGTTGCCAAGTTAAAATAAACGAAATCTTTCAAAAACCGTGTTGCGAGTTCAACTGTTTTTCTCTTGGCGTGACTCATTATACACCGACTCTACTTCCACCTTCTATGGATGCTCATGTGAGCTGCAGCTCACTGCTTGCAACAAGCAGCCTTTCGTTGTGTACTGGAGAACAATGTTCAACGCCACGCGCCGAAAGCACTGCCGCTGCTGCAGCTGATGCCGACAACCGGACACCACCACAAACGGTGATTGTAACTGAATCCGATCACCAGTTGAGGCCAGCCTTGGTAGCTAGCTGCTTGCGGGGAGCCTTTTGCTGTGTACTGGAGAATCTCGTGGAGAACACCACGCGTGGTGAGGATGATTGAATAAACACCGTTTGGTGAGACCGGATGTAATTCAACTTTGAAATCTGTGTTAGGAGATCGCTTTTCGAAGGCAATCGGTGATACTTTTAACTATCAAAACAACAATTGCACATTCGTGCAATTTTCAAAAGTGACATTTTGAAAAATGACAAACTCTTAAATTTAACAGATGCGTAGGAATATATCTGATCGATTGGTGATAAAATTATTGAAATTGGTTCAGGGGCAGCTGAGTTATTAACGTTCAAAATCTTTCATAATTGTGCTACATGTTCCATTTTCGGTTTTCAGAAAGTGTACCCCCATATAGAAAAAATCACAAACAGTCCTACGTCAAAAATATGCCCCATCATTACAATAAATTTGATCAGGGATTTTGTCCAAGGATAGATATACAGAGCTACAGAGTGTGGTAATTGAAGTGCAACATAACATTTTTTTAGTTGAAATAATACATTTGCTATTCACCCAGTTCGTGTACCAAAGTGTTATTTCATATATGGTAGGAACGTTCCGAAACATTGTTACGTCCCTGCTGGGACTTTACAACGGCCCTCAACTTAGTGTTCTAGAATCTAGATGTACTTCCACAGTTGTTAATTGTGTGGCAGGTGCAATTGTACCATAGAGGTAACTCTAAAACCAGGCGGTTACGAAGAAACAAGCTCAATATTTTGGCTCAGGAAGTACCAGGTCTTCGGTTCCAAGCTTGGTCCCAGCTAATTGAAGCACCCCTCGAAACATAGCAACATCCGAGTACCCCTCATTTATTCGGTCAAGTTATTACAGTGAATCAAGACAAACACAAACTTTTAAAGATTGTAATACGATAATGGGATACGATCATTGATGCACTTGGGACCAATGGGCTAGTCAAGTAATTAGTCAATTTAAAATCGTTGGGGATCGTCCATTAATTATGTCACACTTTTAGGGGGAAACTGTGACGAGCCATACAAAAAATGTGACAAAGGGGGTTGAAAATGGGCCAAATTTGCATGACATAATTAATTGACCTTCCCTTATCTAAGCTAAGAACACACGTGCAAAATTGTGGTAAAATTGGTTGTACCTAGATCAAAAATTTCTATGGTTTTGACTGCTGCACATTTGAATTTTTTTTCCTTTGTTCGGGACCTAACACTACTGCGACCAGTAAATTGATCTATTGTAGTATATCCCGTATCCTTAGTTTAGTACATGTCGTATTACTCGATCACTATTGAGAAATGATGAAGTATTCGATTTTTTTACAGTTGCCACTCTTGCATTTATCGCAAGGATCCGACTCTAATTGAAAGGTCCCGCTATTTATACCCTTCGGAGTGTTGAAACACCCTTTGTCAGTCAAAATTGGATTCCTTAGCAACAAAATTAAGGCATGACACCGATAATGACCATGCATAAGAACCCTAGTCTTAACCACTTCAAACTAGGGAATAACGAATAGAAGATTAGGAATCACATAGATGAAGACAACTAACTCATTTTTTTTTCTTTGTTTCAAGATCATCCTCGGTAGACAAAGCCGAGTCTTGTCACTATCAACAAGGCATAAAAAGTAACAAGGACTAAGATGTGTTCCTTGGATTACTAAAAAATCATGTTCCCCTAGTTTGAAGTAGTCAGGACTAGGAATCGGTGGTAGATCTTACATCCCATAACGTACCACGAAAAGGTGATCTACCCACGTTACGGGGATACCAACCGGTGGAAACTAACGATTTTACATTGGCTCACTACTTGACTAGCCTATTGGTCCCAAGCAAATCGATTAACGTATCCCATTCTAGTCGAAATTCCAGTACTACACTATGTTTGTTTTTATTTGCTATGTAAATTTGACAGATAAAATGAGGGGTTCGTTGATTTTCATATGTTTTGAGGGGTGCATCGATTAGCTTGGAACCGAAGATAGTACCAGAGCTGAGCCAAAAAGTTGAGGACGTTTCTTTGGGACTTTCTAGTCTTAGAGTTACCTCTATGGTATAAGGCAGGAACAATGTAAAAAACCTTAGGACATATCATAACAATTAAGGCTGGTAATTTACTGTAGAAGCTTGAGCACCTAGGTTAAAATAAAATGTAATTTATTTTGAAATTGTTACAAACAAATAAAGAGTTTAAAAAAGAGGGGACTATTAAGCACAACCCGCACTTAGTCTTTATTAATCTAGCGCAGTTTAGCACCAAACGGAATGTTATTATTTGTGATGGCTTTCAAATTTATTTACCTTTCCGTACGTACCATTTACATTTAATAAAAAGGAACCAATCGTTGAGATATTGTCAAAAGTCTAACACTACTTCTTGACGCCAAACTCGGCCTACGGATTCTAAACTCGGCCTTACGCATTGAAACGCCATTGAAACACCGACAAACCGACATGAATGACCATACAAGGTACCATCAAATTTCTGATCAAAGCACAAAACTGACATCTGCCGCCGTGTTCGAGAAAAATGTGTATCCTAGCCAACAACACGCATACAAAATGTATGAGTTGGTTCGTGTCTAATCTATTCCGGGCGAATTATTTTTATCTAGATAACAAATTTCTATGGTTTTGACAGATGGGATCGCTGCACATTTGAATCCGCCGTTATAGATTCTCGATCAAGAGTTAAGTTTAAGTTTCATATCGGTTTGTCGGTGATTGAAACGCCATTGAAACGCCAATGAATTCACTTCGGCCTATCGGATGAAGATACAAATTGATTCGGTCCGAGCGCTTCTTTTGTTTTTGGGAATTATGGGTGCAAACCTTCATATCACGCGTTCTCATTGACTTCGTTCGATAGCCTATTAACTAAAGCATCGTACCAAATGCATAATTGACTTGTTAACTCTGAAATCATGAATTTATTTGAAGCTTTCTGCTCGATAGGCCCAAAATGAGCGATTAGGCCGAAGTAGTTCTCTACCCTATTGAAACATGAAATCAAACTTTTTTGATTTTGTGTCAATATTTGCATCAATATGATTGTCAATACTTTTGAATTTTGACAATATTATTGTCTATGTGGTGCTTACTTTTGGGTAGATAGGGCAGATCGACCTGCCATCTGACATTTCATCGCTGCAGCACCAAACGTCGCGCATATTAGAGCATCTCAACGATTGCAACTATCTGTGATCATTTTTTAACAATTTCACGAGTATTAAAAATGTAAAACAGTGGAATTTCAGACGCTTAATTTGATTAATTGCTACCGTATGCAACAAGCATCGTTTACTAAACGTATCCTGTGCCTTTACCTTCCCCACGAACAAGCATCCAAACTCCTGTAACAAGTTCTGAGAGGTCGTAGAGTTCTCTGCATCTCTCTTAAATAAGTTTTCAACTAGCAATCCTTTCCCATCCACAGCAGTTGCAAGGACGTGGCCAGGACAATTATTGATTGTTGGAGAGTTTAACACCTATGGTAACGGACGGAGTTGGCACTACTCTCATACAATGGTCTTGGGCTTGTACCATCTCCGAATGTGTGCAACTAGCTTAATGTAAATACGAATACTCTTGAAATTTGAAAATAAATGAGTTTTTATTTACATTATCATTGCTCTTAACATTAATCGTCTCTAGATCACTGAAATGAATCCAGACTGGAGGTTCGTGGCATCAGAGACATGCGAGGAAGTTCCTGCCCGTCTTCGTAAGGTTGGAATTCCAAAGGGTCATCCGGACGCCACTTTTGTTCTACCGAGGGACGGAAAGCCCGCACCAAAGCAGACTGGGCATATGCGGGGGTTTGGGATGGGGACGGTAGCTGCGAGAGTGCACTGGTGGCCGTTTCAGTGAGCGCTTCCGACAGGAGCAATTGAATTTGAAGCTTAACCTTTTCCTCAATTAGGGCGTTTTTCATCAGATCGAGCGAGAGCGCTACGTAGTCTCCGAAAGGTCGGTTGCGACCGGATTGTAAGTCCAATAAAGGTAGATTCGTAGCTTTGACGTGATTGTCCTTATTTTGATGCTTGGATACCGGACTCTGAGTTCGCATTCGTTTAATGCTTATCGCTGGTTCATGTGATTGACATTGAATGGGAACATCTTCAATACGGTCTGCGGTAGAATCGGTACTGTTCTCGTCTGCTTTCTAAAAACATGTGGACAAAATTAGGTATTGCACTTTCTGCCTTAACGTAATATGTAATTCTCACCATTGATAGGTCAGTTATCATATCGGCAGAATCGCCACTCATTTCACCCTTGAGAAAAGACAAAGCACCGAAAAATTCCCATTTCGGAGTGCCATCGGTTTTCGCATGCTTCTTCAGGTTTTGCCCGTAGATTGTGCGCAGCGAGCGTAGTTTCTCTTTGATCGCTTCTGCATTGGTGCGGAACTCGATGGCTAGCTGCTCCAGTATGCCGGCTCGGAACGGTTTGTTTTTGTACTCACTATTTTCTTTCTTCCAGAGAGCGGGATGCTTCCTGAAAGCTCTAATCAATCGGTACGTTTCGTCTGCCGTCCATGTCTGGTGGATTAGGAGGACTTTAACAGGGTAATCAATTATAAACGACACATAACAATACTTGCCTTACTGCTTCCTTCGTTTGACGCCATTGTGACGCCTTCTACACGACGAATAAAACGCTTTTACTCAAACGTGAAAAGTGCTTGCCAAGCCGAGAGCGTTCGGTTACGATGCCGGCAAGTGTGTGTATGTGAACGCGCTTGCCAAGCCAACCGCTCTCTGCGAGTGGGTTTGCGTGAGAATTGGCTTCCTTCATAGGAGCTGTTACAGTAGATCATAATATGTTGGGAGGTAGAAATGTTACGAACGGCAATAGGGAGCAACACGTGTTGCTGGTGGGAATTATCCCGTCTGTGGCGGAATAAACTAAACCATCATGGGTTGCTGTGTGTCACGAGTCGCTGTCGATGATTATAGGATGGTTGTGCTTTCATTTTGCTTATGAAGATATAATGTAGGTAAATTGGTCAGTTTTTCGTTTTCGAAAACATGCATAAAAATTTTAAAAGGGTGATTTTGTTTTAATTTGTTTATTTGTTCAAAATTTAAATTATATTACATTTAATTTTAATGAAGATGCTCCAACTAATACAGTAATTTACCAGCCTTAATTGTTATGATATATATCTGAGTGTTGTTTATATTGTTTCTGCTTTGGCAATTCAGTATTTTAAACAGGTTTTTTATACCTGCATGTCAGTATAACAATTCAAGCTGAACATTGCATTAGGCCCTAAGTAACATTGATCGATTCTCTTCATCGACTTTCTCTTTCGTTAATAACTTGAGCACATAACCGTTTCTTGATGTGTTAGTCATATTATATGCTAGATAAAAGCTTCTTTTATCGATCGTTGTGCTGAAAATTACCTGGGAATGTGTTTACATGGCCGTAGGGATACAAAGAGAAAGTTGAAGAAGATAATCTGTCAATGTTACTAAGGATCTAATGCAATGTTCAGCTTGAATTATCATCTTAAATCTAAAAACAAAACTAAATCTTATCTAAATGTAAAAGGTATTAATCTTTGAAACTGAGGATCGCAACGATTTTTGTTTGAAATTATTAACTATTTTGATGGGCATTTGTACTATAGTCTCATAATTCGAAATTCTGTGTACCTCGGTAGTACAATTATGAGTAAATTTGTCACATACCTTTGAGAAATCTCAGCTTAAAATCTTATAAATAAATTGGTTAGATTTATGCTCTAACAACATTTATTCGAGCCCTTTAAAAAAACATCCTTGCATTCCAAAAATGGCAACCTTTGAGAAGAAAACTGAAAATATTATTAAAAAATTTCACTAAATTTCAAAAGACCTTCAGAACATTTGAAAGTGTTAATTAAATATCAACCTAATTTAATCCCAATTGATGGGTTCATGCATGTCCGTACGTCCACACGCAACAGCGATGATTCTAATGATCCAAATAACATAGTTCTTTAGGACCTTCCGCCCCTTTTGGCTATAAATTATGACAACCCGCAAAATAACATTCATCAATTATTCTGGGGATACGATTTAAATCTTTCCCGGCAACATGCCCGGCTAATAGCCAATTAGTAAAAACATCGAACTAATTTTAAAACAATTTGCCAAGCAGGCGGACATTCCCATCGCCATCGTCGCCCTTCGGTCCTGGTTGCTAAGCTGCTGCGTGCCGCGGTCCACATTGGTTTAATCTGTTCTGGCCTCCGGAAGATTAGTGTTGCTTGAACTCATACAGACAGTGGTGGAGCAAGGCCCAAGCAAGAGAATGTCATTTTCATTTATTGAGTTACGACACCGAATCGGGGCCACTTCTGGACTAGAGAGCATGCAAGGTAGGAGGCACTTAGCCAAGAAGGTCCCCACGAAAGCTTAATGTTCCTGAGCTTCTTCATTACACATTGTTTCGACCCGCTGGGCATATTCGCTCCTTTTTGCTCTGTCGTCAGCTGTGCCTCGGTGCCTGATGCCTGCCTAGTAGATTGGCTGAGCGGCCCGTCAGCTCTGAAGAATGACTCTGATGGGTTTAATTTAATTCGATTGTCACTATACCGACGAGCGAGGCGCGGCAGAGCTGGTTGCGAAACAACGCACGCCAGCCGACACACACCGGGTGACAAATTTCTCAGAAACCTCCAATTAGTAAATTATTTCAGTTATTTTACGTTCCATCGTAATGATAATTATCCTTTCAGTCTGGGCGTATCACGCAAAATGGAGCCCCTCTCGGGTTGGTTTCGAAGGTAGGTGGGTGATAGAAGAGCGCACTGGTGGTGGTACCCTTAGGATCTGTCACCGATTGGAGGTACCGAATGAACAGCGTATCCTTCACGTGCTTAACTGTGACTAACAAGCAATGCGACTGAAGGTGCCTCGAAGGAAATATTCCCCAGCGGCGCTTTTCGATTTCTTGCCGAATTGTACGTCGGCTAATTGTGAACCACGATTTGGGACAGTGATTAAAGCTCGGAGTTAATTGTATGTGCATTCTTCCGTAAAAGTGCACGGTGCGAATTCGAATGAGCTACAATTGACAGATGGTAGCTATAATGTGGTATTGAGGTTTAGGGATAAGGTGTAATTTTGGGCCTACTAAGCTCATCCCACACTTAACCTCTCTTTTCGAGCGGATTTCAATACAAAATGGAATGTTTCTATGATAGGCGATTTTTGAATTTATTTACCTTTCCATACGTATCGTAAGATTTGATAAAGAGTCAGAAATTGTTGAGATATTGTTAAACATCTAACACAACTTCTTGATTCCAAACTCGGCCTATGGATATTTTGGTCGCTATTGAAAATTTAGTCGATTGCTGTATTTATATATGGGCCCAAATTAGGGACATTTAGGCCGACATCAATTTCCCCTATAAACCATACAGGAAAATGTCCAAATAGAGACTGAACTCATTCGTGAATGTTTTGACCGCTGATTTGGATTTTCCAGAAGAGCCATTACGTATTTTGAAGGTAAATATGATGAAAAGTCACCGGAAAAGTATATTTCATTATAATGTGTTCAAGAGAACAGCTGATTTATTTACGGAGCTGTTCCACTGGCAGGTGGCGGGCTGCAACATGGATCCAACGCAGCAAAATCCACCAGAATTGTATAGATAAGGAAATTAAAGTGGTGCAAGCGGCATTGGAGAACTTCAATCAGGATAGCTATGGTGTCAGGCTGTTATTGAAAACTTAGAACGGCGGCTTGGAAAAATTGTGCCCGAACAGGCACTTTTATAGAGCGCGAATGCTTAATATTCCAAATGATTCTCCCAAATCAATCATGGAGAATAGCTGAGGCGGTGGTGTAGTGGTAATCGTGAATACCTCTCACCCCAGCAGGCCTGGGTTCAATCCCAGTCGGCGCCGCCGGGATGTTCTGAGGCATAACATCACTGATCACGCCTTCCTTCGGAAGGGAAGTAAAGCCGTTGGTCCCCAGTTCATGAGTTGATGGGTCGATAGGTAGGGTCCAGGTGAGGGAGCTGCCTCCCTGGCGTCGGTAGCATTGGTGCTCAGCACGGAAAACAAGATCGGCGGAAAACGAATCAAGGAAAAAAATCATGGAGAACGATATGAAAAAATAGTATCCATCTCCTCGAGAGTCACATTTGTCAACAACGCAAGTTTCAAGAGCTGAATTTTCTCAGTGTATGCTAATATTTTAGGGTTATGAATCGAACGGGAGGGTGGCCTATCAGAAATTCATCATTTTTTTTTAATGAAGCACTTTACTGTTTACACTGACATAAAGCGGGAGTTATTCAGTCCAGGGATGCTAGGTGCGTTTAGAAAAAATCTTCACATATATTGATAGGATGTCTTCACATGTTGTCACCGCGTCTTTAAAAATTGAAAGTTGTTCATGTTAAATATTTTAGATTTAGGGGAAATGGATGTAATTTCGGCCTAAATGCCCCTAATTTGAACCAATACATAAATTCAGCAATCAACTAAATTTACAATAGCGACCAAAAATATCCTCTAGTACCGTCCCAATGACGCGTTTATCTAGATAAAATTGATAAATAGTGGACTTTTAGCAATGGGCTCAATCTTAGATCCATATGCCAACATTAGAGCCATTTCCCCTATATAACAGAAGTTCACGGACCTTATAGAACTCAAGCGAAGATCTTTTTGAAAGTAAAAGGAAATGAGAACTTCTGCAAAGTAAACGGAACGTTGTGGAAGTTCAGTGAACTTCGTAGAACTTCTTCTAATAAGCAAAGTAAAAATCATGTAAATTAAGGTGCTTTGAGACTGACATATAGGGGAAATGGCTCTAATGTTGGCCTATGGATTTAAGATTGGGCACATCGCTAAAAATCTGCTATTTATCAATTTTATCTACACAGTTCGAAAAAGTAGTGTAAATTTCTGTTCAATATGCGTCCATATCATATAAGTTTACATTATAAACCGTGTAAAGCTTTGAGAGTTTTCATGAAATGTTGCAAATATGGTATTCAAAAGCTCATCTTTGTAAAGTACATTGCTTATAAGTTGCTCGTTTGTGTGAAATGAAATACAAGTTTACTTGAATAAATATTTACATCACAAATAAAATTCAGAATTTTTTGCTGTGTAGGATTACGTGCTCATTATTAATATTCGGCGACTGTGTTAGGGAGACAACTTTTTCCCATCACGGAAACGCCTCGTTTTCTGCACGGAATTTTTGGTTTAATCAATAGAAATCGAAAATTGATTGGAGGAATTTCTTGCAAAGATATTCGCGATCAATCATATAAATTTGCTTTTTCCTAGCGTCCTGGTGAAAACTCTACCTTAATTCGAAGTGTTTCTGGTTAATTGACAAGGTGATGTGGTATTCGGGTAGTGCTAGAATTTTTATGTTCTACTTCAATACTGTTACGCATTTGACCACGTAACTTAGACGACTGCAGCGCCACATGCACATTTCAAAAACCAAAATTTGGGAAAATTTTATTTAAAATATTTTCAATAAAATGCTGAAAACCGCATTCTTTTAAAGTGTTTCTGTTCGCCAAAACAAATAGCGATATTGACCCTTTTTTCGGTTGGCCTAACCCCTTAAGCATCAATAATTTATGGTGGTCCTGAA